GAGAAATCTTTAGTTTACAGCTGACCAATGTCGAAATATTTTGAACTATGAAACAAACGATCATAAAAAATTAATTTGACTTCCCGGGAAACTTTTTTCATTTTGATAAAGGTAGAAAACTAGGAAAACTTATGAGGAATCTTATAATCAATTAATAAAATCTTAGATACAAATAGAATAATTTTTATGAATTTCTAACTCAAAATAATTTGCAAATTGTTGTCATTTTAACGAATTTTGTCATAATTCTAACTTCAGTCGTTCATAAAAAAATGTGGATTTACGCTCGACTTTTATTAATTTCCACTAATAACAACTTATAAGGAACCTTGTAAGTATTACATTTTTAAGTTTTTTAAATATTTTTTACCGACAGTATTTTAATAATTAAAAAAATACTTATATAAATCGAAATTGTTATGCCTATAAATAGTTTATAATAAGTCAAAATACTTTGAAAATTGTATGGTATACAGTATGTCCCAAAAGTCCCGTATCACCCTTAATATCTCCATGTAAAATCACTATATTTAAACGCGGTTTTTTTTACAGTACTAAGTATGAAAATTCTGATTGAATGGCATAAAATTCATTTATTTTTTTCTTTAAATTCAAAAATTTTCAAAAAAATTTTTTACGCATTTAATAATTTAAAATTTTTAAGATAGCCATTTTGTTGAGCATAATTTTTAAAACAGTTCAAAAAAAAAAATACTAAAATTAAATAAAAATTGACCAAGTTAGAGCAAGTTATGTTTTTGAATAATTGTAGTAAAAAAATAAATTATTGTTTCACATTTCAATAATGAAATATCTAATTTCAGCACACGACAATACTTTTACATTCCTAATTGTATTTTTTTACTACAATTATTCAAAAACATAACTTGCTCTAACTTGGTCAATTTTTATTTAATTTTAGTATTTTTTTTTTTTGAACAGTTTTAAAAAATATGCTCAACAAAATGGCTATCTTAAAAATTTTAAATTCTTAAATGCGTAAAAAATTTTGTTGAAAATTTTTGAATTTAAAGAAAATAATAAATTAATTTTATGCCATTCAATCAGAATTTTCATACTTAGTACTGTAAAAAAAACCGCGTTTAAATATAGTGATTTTACATGGAGATATTAAGGGTGATACGGGACTTTTGGGACATACTGTATAGTAAATACTAAATGCTAATATAAACATTCAGTGAAAGTTTAATGTATCTATGGGTTTTTTTAGTTTTTCACTATTAACCAAAACCAAAAAGGTGCTCTGCTGTACAGTAGGTTACAAGTGGGTCACTGTATAATGGATGGTATTAAACTATTAAATTTGAATTCAATGATATAATATAATTGTATAAGAAAACGATTCTGAGCGGAGACGGTATGTCAGTCTAGGTTTAAGACATTATATACATATCTATGGTATTAAAAAAAAATTGACCTATAATAGATACCTATAATAAATTCCAAATTAATCATATCACAATAACTATTAGGGGAGACGAGGTGGCCGAGCAGTCTAAGGCGTCGGTTGCGGAGCAGCCGTCGCCCGTTCGATTCTCGCCACTGGGCGGCATTTTTCTTCGGGCAAGTCACGGTGTCCGGAGAACAAGTGCCGCCATCCCCCACCCGGAGCATGGCAGAAACCTACGGGTGTCACACTAGAAATTCTGCCACAACACACACACGTATACCAAAACCTATCCAATACAGCAACTCACCGTTCCACTCCCACCCAATGACCTATGTTTCTGCGGGTCATCTAATAAAAAAAAATAAAAAAAAAATATCCATTAGGTACTTGTAACGTGTTATACATCAACAACAAACCCTGATACTATCATAGATATATAATAGTGTACTTTAGAAGTTTCAAGTACCCACTAATAATATTATACTATCACAACAAAATAACTAAAACAGTTATATTCTAGGTTTTTTATTATGTAATTTTTTCCAAATTCGAACTTAAAATGACTATAAACATAAACTGTTCTTCTGTATTTTTTAGATTTTTTGGTAACAAAATTAACTACTTACGTGAAATCTTGTTTTAAATTTTCAATATAAAAGTCGAACATTTTATAAATTTTTAACTACAAAATAATTGTATGATTTTAAATTTGATAAATTATGTCAATATTCGATCTTTAAATGCTTATAAAAAAAATTGTGCCTACCTATGTATTTTTAATATTTTTCAACTGATATTGTAACAATATATCAGGAGCCTTGTATTACATTTTTACACTTTTTGGCCCAACAGATAAAACTTAATTGATATTTAAAGAAAAAAAACTAAAAAAATTAAAAACTGTAAATGTCCGTAAACAGCTCAAAAAGAGTCAAAATATTTGGAAAATGTTATGGCGTATAGAAAATGCTAATATAAACATTCAGTCAAAATTTCATGTACCTACGGTTATTTGTTTAAGAGTTGCACCAAAAACCAAAATCGATTTTCTCGAAAACAGATTTTGCTTAAAAATTCCCATTTTTCCTTAATTTTTCAAGTCGCTTTTGAAACTAGTGGAAAATTTTTACTTTTGACCCTCCAAAGTACCAACTAGATTCACTTTCCTATCAGAAAAGATACTGTTGAAGAAAATCCAATCACTTTTACTGTCCTAAAACGTGATGACAGATAAAAATTTAAAAAAAAGGTGCTCTGCTGTACAGTAGGTTACAAGTAGGTCACTGTATTATGGATGATATTAAATTTGAATTCAATGATATAATATCATTGTATAAGAAAAACGATTCTGAGCGGAGACGGTAAGTCAGTCTAGGTATAAGTCATATTATATACTTATCTATGGTATTAAAAAAAAATGACCTATTATAGGTACCTATAATAAATTCCAAATTAATCATATCACAATATTAATTAGGTACCTACTTATAACGCGTTATACATCAACAACAAACCCTGATATTATCATAGATATAAAATAGTGTACTTTAGAAATTTCAAGTACCCACGAGGCACGAATAATATTATACAATCACAACGAAATAAACAAATAGTAATTCTAGGTTTTTTTATGTAATTTCATCCAAATTTGAACTTAAAATGCTTATAAAAAAAAACTGTGACTAAGGTTTTTTAATATTTTTCATCTGCTTTTGAAACAATATACTAGGAGCCTTCTATTAAATTGTCAAGCTTTCGAAACCAACAAATAAAATGTTATTGATATTTTTAGAATAAAAACTAAAAAAAAATGGAAAATGAAAATGTCCCTAAACAGTTCAAAACAAATCATAATATTTTAAAAATTTTATCGTGTATAGTAAATGCAAATATAAACAACCAGTGAAAATTTCATGTATATACGTTCATTTGTTTTAGAGTTACACCAAAAACCCAAATCGAATTTTTGGAAAACAGATTTTGCGTAAAAATTCCCGTTATTCCTTAATTTTTATGTGTTTAATCCCGGCGCTTGTGAAAACTATTGGGAATTTTAAATTTCGACCTCCTGAATGCACCAACTAGAATCACTTTCCCACCAGAAAATTTACAGAAGTGGAAAATCAAAGCATTTTTTCGACTACTTATCATGTTAAGAGTCACAAACAATAAAAATGAGATAAAAAAGTGGCCAAGTTAGTGACGTTCTGCTCACTACTGTATGGTAGGGGCCAAGGGAGCTATTTATAGGCATACAAAAATTTCTATTTTTATTATTTATTTTAAAATTATTTATGTCGATAAAAAGTTTTTCTTTCGTTCAAAATACTTGATAAATTAGTCTGAATTAAGAATTTTGACAAAATTCATCAAAATCATCAAAATATGCAATTTATTTTGACTTCAGAATTTATAAATTTTTTTTATTAAAATCTATGATTTTAAAATATTATTCAAGATTCCACATGAGTTTTTCTACCATTGACCAAAAAAAGTGTTTACTGGAAAGTCAAATCAATTTTTTATAAGCTTTCGAAGTTTAATTTTTTACAACATTGAATAACCCGACAGTGACCCACTCGTAACCTAGGTACCTACTGTAAAGCTGAGCGGTATCCACCTTTTCCATGTATAATACAATTGATATGTGTCAAATATGGCATGCAATATTCGAACACACCCATCCATAAGAGATTATATAGATAGCATGGTAGGTATTTGCCATTTGGACGCTTCAAATTATATTTATATTTTTGGAATGCAATGGATGAACTGAGTTTTATACTACGATAAATATTCCTCGTTTCGCACAGAATCTAATAGAAAAGGTTAAAATAACTTTAAATTGATAAATTGTAAAACTAAATAGGTATCTATACTATACTTATACTTTTGTATATGTGCAGTATAGTGCAGTCCATAACATAGAATTCATAATGTAAGAAAATATTAGGGTTAATATCCTCTTACTTCTTAACATGATCGGTTTTACAATAATTACTAATATTGATCAATAATAGAAAAATTATGAAAGCATTGTTTTTGTTTAGACACTGCATTACTGGAATATTACAAATTAATCGGTAGGTACTCTAGCTATAGGTATACCCGTCTAAAGTCTAATATAAATTCTATTAAGCATTTTAATTAAAATATACAATTGTCAGAATTGACTTTGTTTCATCATACTTCTGAACACTATATTATAACACAATAGGTACCAATAGAAATTGTTTTCATAGTTCAATATCACACTAATCCTGCCATATAATATGGCAGACAAATGAGTTGGTGTTGGTATAATTAAAAAAAAGTAACGGTGGAGGTCGTTGCCATGCAGGAGGATCACCACTGCGATTGGGCGTGATGGTAAGGTTATTATACCATTGAGGTGGTGGGAAATTCATCAGAGAGGTATCTGTCTGATATATAACCCATGTTGATCTTCGAAAATATGAATCTCAAACAGTATACCTACGACAGTCTACACTGTAGTAAGTTGAACCTATTCTGTAAAAAGTGCTAATATATATTTAGATCCGTATTTTATCATTATTATTAGTGTTTGTTTAGCTGCACATAGGTCGAAATGAAGTTTTTAGTGAGTATATATACCTTTAATAATATTTTCATTAATATTAAATTATTATTAAACCGGTAAGGGTACACTTAACCATACTTAACATTTCATAAAAGATCATATTATTATATCGGACATTCGGCTATACTTAGGTATATTATAATAGTAAGTAGGTATAGTAGCCAGTAGGTACCTATATAGATATTCTTATTTTATATTATACTTAATATTGACTTTATTGAACAATAAAAAAAAAAAACTAGGGAAGTCGCTCTGCTGTATAGTAGGTCGTAGGTGCTAGGTACCATAGGTAGGCGTCGAGTACGGAAATACTAGGTTACTGTAATAGTAATGGATGTGTTAAATTTTAATTCAATCATAACATACGATCAATAATTTTGAGCGGAGACCGTCTGTCAAACTATTTTATTGAGGACATCGAGTTGAATTGTTGATAATATTGCTATACCTAATTTATTTATTTTTTCATTAGTAAACGGTATACCAGCTAGGTTAAATTTTAAAGTTTTACAAAATACGTCACATATTTTATGATTTTAATGTATTATTATCATTATTAACTTTTAAGTCAATACTGGTGTACCGTAGAACGGTGAAAATAGATTATAAATAGTTTAAAACAAGTAAAAATATTGTGAACATTTCACCTTGTGTACCCCCTATAAATAATAATATATGTAATAGCGAAAAGTTTCAAGTATCTAAGAATAATATTTTTTTAATTACAACAAAGTAACTATGTATAATAATTATTATTTTTCTTATAAATATATCTAACCCAATACTATCAATTAGGTACATACAAATCTTATTTTCAAATGGCCAACAAATTTAAAGTGGGTTCATAATAAAAAAAAAAATGTTTTTTTTGTAAGGTAAACTTATGAGGAAACTTAAATTAAATTTTTAAGTCTTAGCTATTAAAATTAGTATGTAACAATTTATACATTTTCGAAATTTCAATAAATTACGCAAGGTTTAAACTTTTAAATTAAACGTTTTTAACAACACAAAATTATTATTTATAAAAATCGAAAAAAACAACTAATAAAAAGTTGAAAATTGAAAATGTAGGTATAGGTAATATATAAATAGTACAAATATTTTTAATTTGATATTATGTTTAGATAATGCTAATTTAAAATTAAAATTATATTTGATTTGAAATTGTATAGACACCAGACACCTGTCCATGAACAATATTTTATTTTCTATATTTAATACTAGAATGTGTAAGCCGTTGCTTAAAATTTAAACTTACCAACTGGTTCTTAAAATTTAACTAACTCGTATTTACATATTATAACTGCACTTACATAAAAATTCTGTATATTATGCATAAATATGGAGAAATTAAATTAATAAATAATTAGGTAAGTAAATTTATTACACAGATTACTGATCAAAAATAAATAATTTTATAATAATTACGTAACTATTCTTTTGAAAAAGAAAATTGCATTTTATAGAATATAGATGCAGACCTACCCAAATATTGAAATACTATAGGCATTTTAATAAATTGTTTAATGTAATAAAAACTCTTTCGTTTAAATGGAAATTGCGTAATATTTTATATTTTATATTTATTTTTTTTATGTTTATCGAGTATTAAAAATGAGAACATTATTTGAACACAGTTTACGCGGATGTCGGATACATAGATATGGGGCCCAGTATATATTTGATGGCGTATTGAAGATTGGGATAGCCGGATGGGTGAATCCCCAAGTTTTATTTTTTCATTTTGAGATCATACAAATTTTAATAATATTTTCACTTGCCAGTATGGCTATTACTTATTCGAATTGAAGTTGGACCTGAATATAATTTTAAACTATTATATATATATAATTTTTAAAACATTTTGAAAAATTGTATTAATCAGAGATGATATTGTATTGTTGTTGCTCTCGGGTCCTTAATTAATAGGTTTACTCACTCTCCCGGCCCCCTCACCACCCGTCATATTATAAACATTTTATTAAATACAATATCACTCATTTCAATAAACAGGTGGCACTGGCTGTTTATTGCGTCTTATCGGCGGCAGCGGTGCACTCCGCACCATCGCACGGATTCATATCGCCGGTGATCCTGCCCAAAGTGCATTTGGCGTCACCAGACGTGACCGTCGTCAGACAACCGTACGTGGTGCAGCAAACCGAACCAGTGTTTAGACACGTCTACTACGCCGGCGACTCGGTGCCGTACGTGTCGCATCATGTGCAGGCCTACCATCAACACCCAGCGGTCGTCGCCGCCTACCAGACGGCACCCGCGTACGCACCAGCCGTCGGTTACGTCGTTTGAGCTTCGGCATTCGGCAGTCGTCTTCACGAAATCGTCACCATCATCAGTCATCATATTATATTAAGCACTGTCCGGACCAAGAACCATTTGTCAGATACATGTCTCTGACACTGTCGTCAACAAATATTAAATGTATGTTACGGCTTATGACGGGAAATCAGAAACATTGTCGACGACAAACGTAGGAAACATGTGTTTTCGACAAATTTTTCTTTGGTCTAGACAGGGCTTTAGGTGGTTATTATATACCTAGCTAACGGGTATATTCACGTAGCCGCCACCTATATAATATGATTTCCTGGCGTGTATTATTCGACGACACAGACGAAAATATAATATTAATTTATTGTACAATAATGATTATATTATATTCATGATAGGTAGGTAATAATATAATACGCGTGATGAACGCGAATAATTTGATGCGAAAACGTTTTTCATTTATATTTTATTTACAAATACAATAACACAACAATAATTTCTCAACATTTTTTTTTTTTTTTCGATTGACGGAAGAACTAAAATAATAATAAAATTAGATAATAATAATAATAATAATAATAATAATAATAATATTTTTTTATTTTGTGCGGTGGGCCTAATTTAAACATGTATATATATATATAATATATGCTATGTATATACATAAACATATACATATATAAGTATATATATATATATATTTATTAATTTTTTTATTTGAGTAGGTAATAAACATTATAATGAAATAAAATGTTCGATTAATTCATATAATAATTTAATGATAACGATTGTACTAAATTGAAAACATAACCGGGTGGTTTTTTTTTAAATTTAAAAACTTATTCTAAAATTTCTAAGGTACCTACATGAGCACGACATTTTTCCGTATTTTAATAATGATTATAAGATAACCTAATAGTACTTAGAAAGTATGTATATAATTGTTTTTTTTTTTTTTTAAACATATTTTTACGATTTATGTTATGTACTTGTGTGGCGTGGCCCACAAGATGACATAAGTTTAAGGTTGTCAATTTTAATTTTTCCAAAAGAGCTAGGACTATTTTAATGACACTACAATAGGTTGTTTATCGTTAATGTTAAACATTATTTTCAACAATAGTTTCAATGATTTCATTAGGGAATTCCGAACATGAACAAAAATACGAGGCTAGATTTGTTGGGACCATTATTAATCTAAACTTGCAAATTCAACCTTCAAATAATTGTAACCGTTTTCCTAGACCACTTCAATACATCTAATGAATACAATTAATTAGATTTTATTTCCCAGTTCGTCGTCGTTACACAATAACAATTTATTGTCGTTCACGCGTTGACTATATTATTTATTCTCAAAATGTCCAATGTACATATTAAGCATAAAAATAATCATTATTTACTTATCCTATGTGCTCGAACAAAGTAAATGACTCGTGGTTATGTATTCTGTAGTTAGGAGGTCTAAATTTTTTTTAAGTTCAAATATCACTAATGAGATCAAATGGAGAAATGTTAACAATTCATAATAAAATCTATTGAAATTTGAAAGAAGAAAATAATTTAAATGAAATTGAGCTTTGAGCTTTTAATATGTACGATTTGTAATATAACCTTAAGTTGGTGCATAATCATTAAAACAGACATGGTCTATATATCATATATATTTAAATATTCAATATATATAAGTCAACGTAACGTGGATAAATTTCATAATGCGTATCCCAAATGTATGGTGTCTAATAACAATATTAGTAAAGGTGGTTAAAAGAATAATTTACCATGGTCGTTGTATCGACGTTTGTATTTTAATTACTGTTAATAATAAACAGCCCAAATCCGGTATATTTTAGTTTTTAATTGTGACAAAATGTTTCAGTTTCGTTTTAATTATTATTTACACGAAACAAAAGACTGTAATAAATTCTAATTTTATGTAATAAATAAAGTAGGAACATACCAATAAGGTAATGAGAATTTAAGAAATAATCTAACTTGATCATAAACATAATTTCTTCGACCCTCGGCCGGCAGATCCTTTCCATACCATTGGTAACAAGGACATCATAGAAATCCCCAATTAGATTTTAAAAAAGGACTCCTATGAGAGTCAGTGATAGCTATCACGTTCCTCGTTAATTGGGTATTTTTATGCATGAACATTTTTTTTATGAGTGATTGTCCCGCGTTTTATTCATTTTTTATCCTTTTTCTCTCCTTTTCTCACCATTGTCCTTGTTTCAAACTGCTCTTGATTCGATTTTTTTTTTCGTGGCAATGTTGACGATTCTCCCAATTCTCTGGGCTTCCAAACTGGAGAACCTGCGGAGTAATATAAACAAAAATACCGTCATCAATATCTCTCAACTAATTAATTTAAGCAAATCATTTAAACAAAACACCTAACGTAATTAATACAACCAATAGGTTGCTTATAAACAATAAGATATTAACATTATTCATTTCTACATCTTTCAGAATTTGTTTGCCCGGTGGAGTGAACTCTACCGCCATCCCCTCCTATGTTACTTTCGTGAGTTCACTCTACCAAAATATGTGACCCATAGCCTTGGCTAACATTATAATGGGTCTAACCTATTCTCAGTGGGTAGCGCGATTTTTAGTAATCCTGGTGCAGATCCGTCTTACCGAGGTCCTGCACCTGAGGTGGTTGATAATTTTCTGGTTGCTGTGATCTTTCCACCAGTCTGGCTGCTTGACTGCCAGTACTACTTGCTGATAATGTAGACGTGGTACTAAGCATTAAGTAGTTGGGTGTTTTTCCCAGACTACCGTGCATTGGAAGTCCTTTAGATGGTCCAGGTTGACTACAGCTATCATCTTCACCTTCGGATTTTTGTTCGTCAACTTTTCGTTCTTCTGAAAACAATTCAATATATTAATATTATTATTAATTATTTATAATGAAATATTATATGATATTTTATAATAATATAAATAAAATAATAAAATAGTGTCAATCATTATAGTAACTGTTAATAATAAAAATAATACATTTATTTTAAGTTTATTATTTTTTATTTTACCTCTGTTTCTCGATCTATAATTTGGCAAAATAGTTTGAGTCCCTGCTGTATCCGTCGTAGAATCAGTTGACGATGTTCCTTGATTCCTTAACTCCACTTTGGGCATAGTATTCCCTGAAGAATATCTTTGAGGTGGTTTTGGAGGTATTTTTTTAGGTTTTCCAAGTGTTTGTGATCCTTGGGCTAAGTTTGAAATATCAGGCGTTTTATGATCCTCTGATATCAGTTGTAAACCTTGGAATACATATCAACATTAATGAAAATGTAAGAAAAAATATAAAAATAGTATTTACCTCCAGTATTAATTGTTTGTCTTCCTAATGTTGCGGTATTGCTTACTAGTTGAGCAGGGGAATTAGTAGAAGGTTTGGCAGTAGGAATGCTCATGTTTCGCACGCTTTCACGAATTATCTGGCGTATAGTTTTCAAGAACGCATTTCTGAATTCGGCAGTACTAAATTAATGTATTATACTATTAATGAAAAATTATGTTCCGGCAGTTAAATAAACTTTTAACAATTAACATACCTATTGGAAAGGACATAAATCTTTTCTGCTCTTCGGTGGGATTGACTACGTAAATGTATCAGCTCCCATAAGAAATGTGTCTCCATATCTTTAGCAGAACTTGCTCTAACTTGTACTTCAGTTACTGGTATCAAAACTTGATATCTAATTATTTCCATTTCACTTTTGCCCGATACACTCTAAAACAAAATAATATCTGTGTAATTTTTATTGCAAAATGGATTATTATTAATTAATCTTCCAAAACTAACCATTAATTTCTTTTTTTGTCTTAAACGTTCTTTACATAAAAATACTACCGCTGATTTGAATACAAAACACATTGCATGTAGTTCTAAGCCTTTTTTTATTTTCCCGAGGAAATCAGATATATTCAACCATTCTACTCCTCCATAGTACAATAAATCACCCGGAGACAAGTCAATAGACTACAAAAAACAATTCATATTTTAGCAATAAATGTCAGTCTTAGTTTTAATGTCTTAATAATAATAACTTACTTGTTTACAAGATTTTTGATGTTGTCTGAATAAGTGATCAAAGATTGCTCCATATTCTTCGTGTATCCTTTGCATTTCATTAATATGTTCAGCGACATTTTCCATTCCCTTAAGTGCTTCTAAAATGTAAAAATCATAGCTAATAATTAGTTTTTATTAAAACAAATATATAATTTGAATATTTTAAAACTGATTATTTAATTACCAACGAGGTGGAGGTGTTGATCTGAATGAGGATCAGTAAGATTCCTTAGTTGTTGTAGTAATAGTGGATATTTTAATATCCTTTGAATAGGTTTAATTAAATAAGATTCTAAAGAACAAGAATGTTGTTGCCGTGGATTTCTGGAGCATAGAAATTCTTGTAAAGCTTGATTGCCTTCATCTAGAAATAAATAATAATTGTAATTTGTTTACGAAACCGTTGGTAATCTGACATTTGTATAATAATAGTAACTTACTAGGATTAAGTATTTTTTGAGCTTTTGAGTGACTTGCACAGAACGAACTGTACAATTTGAAATGATTGACATAATATAAGAAGGCGCTCCCGATTGAGAAAAGTATATTCTGTAATATAAATTATAAATTATTCATTATATTGAATCGAATTTTTTTTTAATGTAATTTAATAGTATTGTACTTTAAATTGCTCTGGCTGATCAAATTTATGGAAATTAGGTTCTTGGTGTACGGCTTCTTCTAAATTTTGTAAGAATTGATGTTGAAACTGAACAATTTCTTGGATATTACCAAACAGAACTGCTATTTCTGCTCCAGATAAAAATGTTTCTTGTTTAAGTGGTTCTAAATAATTCTCCAGTAGATTATTTAAGTGCTGTAAACATTTTTAAATTTTTTATTAAGAAAAATATACGATCTGTGCATTGTGCAAAGTAATTAATTCTTAATTTCATGTGAAATTTATTTTCGTCATATCATAGAATATATTATTTATTAAAATGTACCTTAATATAGGATTTTTCAGTATCTACAAGTTCAGAAATAACTTTTCTAAGTTTTTCAGCGTCTGTCAACTGACGACCAATAGTTATTTGAGGATTCTGAACAGCAGAAATTACGGTTGGGCTAGTTCTTCTTGCTGGCTCTGGAGATCTACAGAATCCAGTCACTTCACCAGCACTCTAAGAATAATAACAACATTGAAACATATTTTTTTGACCATTATAATTTTATAAATAATAAAACAAACCTTAATTAAATTTTCAATTTCAAAAGAATTTCCTCTGGAAGCAAGTTTTGAATCTTGAGTCATGTTGTTAGTTTCCAATTCATAAATACCTTCCCTATCTAATAAATAATTATAATAATAGATTTTATGTCAATAGTGTTAAGCGCGTGATATCAACTTACTCCACCCTGGAGCTGGTACGATCAGTCCAGATATCATTTCTTCTGAGATTACCGGTGGATCAGTTGGTGGTGGAGGACAAACTAATGATTGAATTATATCGTCAGTAGTCTTTGATATAATTCTTGAGCCTGAAGGTAATTGGGGAGGTTCGGTTCTGGATGACCTCATCATCATACTTAAAGAAAGTTCTTCTTGAAGAGCTGATTCTAAGTACATCATATCTAAATCACTTACTATTGCACTATTAATCACCATAATCTCATCGCTTTTAATTAAACCTGCAATAAATACATTGTAATTGTTGTTGTAATTTAAATTGTATAACCAAATATCAATTTTTAATATTTTAATTAACTGAAAATTAAGTATTGAAATAACATATTACCATTTTGAATAGCAATTCCTTTGTCTTCAACTCGACTAACATAACAACAAAGTTCATCTTGTCTTTCAGCATTCTCAATTAGTTCTGCTTCTACGGAAAATCCCCACATATGATCTAATGTATTTCTTTCAAGTTCTACTTGATAAAGGATTTTGGCACGAACTTCGACAACTTCGTGAGTATGTAGCTAAATAAAAATATGAATTTGTTAAATTAATTTAATAAATATAACTATATGTATTTACGTTGAATGGAATACTTACGTAAGTTTCAATACTATCAGTTCGGTGAGGAACAAAATAATTATGATCTTCCATATCCCTTCTCTTTTTTACCCTGACAAAGTGCTCCATGGGATTAAGTCCTTTTCTTGAACAAGATAATGCCAAATACTCATCAACTGTCATGCCCTCTCGTAAATGTATTTGTACCGACTGTAAAACAAATTTACTACAATGAGTACCAGGCAAAATTATAATACGAATTAAAAACAATCAAAATTATTTTATTAAAGTCCATGTGCTAAATTCACTTAGACAAATAAGTAAATATACATTTTTTTTATGTAAATAAATGCATTTAGGGTACCTACATAGCAAAATATAGATTTTTATAAAAACGTTTTGTCAAATTAGTAAAAATGGTAATTTAAAATTATGTTAATTATTTTTTCATCACCCAACTTGAGAGATATGAATAACCAACAAGTACTTATTGCATTTTTGCAATTTTAAAAAAAATTAACATTAAATATTTTTAAATACGTGGTTTTATTCAATATTTGAACATTGAACATTTAAATTTAATAGTGGAAGAAAGTATAAATGTAAATTATATAAATTCAAAATATATTATTTATAAATGTTGTGTACTTACTTGATTATCAGGTAAAGATACTTTCACAGTCTTTTCTGCGTCATCTCTGGATGTTGATGATTGCAATGATCGTCTACCTGAACTACTATTGGAACGAGATAATATTGGAGCTTTTCTTTTAGTTGCACCACGTCCAGCCAAAAGATTGTTGAGCAATGAAGGAGAACGAGCGCATATAAATGCATGTAACGAAGATACAGTAAACACACCTAATTTGTTTAATGTGATTTTTGTGGCTCTGGATACACGCGTTAAAAGAATCTAAAATTGTGCATATAGTTATTTATTTTCACACTATTATTAATTGAATTATGAATTATATAAGTATATATTATTAATATAATTTATTAAATAGGTATTCCTGCGATTAATTCATATACCTATGCAAAATTAATTATAGATCAATAATGCGGAATATTGAATGTACCTTGGGATTTGGAAGTTCACCATTTTGTAAACTAGCCATATAACATTTGAGCCGAAACTGTTCACAATGTAGTCTCTCTAAATTCTCTTCCCATGCTAAAATTTGCTTTTTTATTTGTTCTTTAGTATCTGGATCGGTTAGCATTTCTACTTGTACTTCAGCCATATGTTTAAGTTTTTGATCCTGTAGTAAAATAATCGTTATTATAATACCATATCGGGTGCAAACATTATATATAATTAATAAAGTTAAGATTACATATCTATTTTAAATTCAAAAATATATAAATATAAATGTTGGCACATTATTTTCTTATTTAAAAATTAAAACTTATACTATACAAAATACATTTTGTCGTAAATTATCAAACGCGGCTAAACGAAACGTATATAACCAGCCGAATTACATGATACAGGCAGACAGCTTTATAATATAATTTAATATACATAGTAATGTGTAGGTATTTAATGAAAGTAGGTAGGTACTTAAAAACATATGTTTGTTGTTTATGAAATATTTATGTAACTTCATAACGAATGCTAAGCAAGGTCATTTAAAAATATTGTATTTTAATACTCAGCCAATGATAAATACTAATGTAAACGATCATCAATCAAGCCGAACATGTAATTAGACAGGTCGTAAGTATTAATTATATGTTAAATTGAAAATTATGTGTGTGTAGGTATATAAAAAACAACAACTAAAAGAAAAATTAAAACTAATTCAGCAATAAATAGGTACTGATAATCAAGAATATAATATACCTATCGATTGGAGGTTCTAGTTATTATATTTAAATTTTTAATCGCATAATTAAGCGATATACGTTTCAGCGATATCATAACATAATCATATAGATAGGATTGTTAACTTGGCACCTACTTATATGATAAACTCACCTACTACGCATAATTATTATTAAATACTGTTAAATTATATGTAAATAGTATACATTTTTTGTTAATCATCATAAAAATATTATAAATATTATAAAACGATAAAGCACGATTGAAAGAATTTAAGTGATGGAAATTACAAAACTGTTATTAAGTATTACATATTGTGTAAATATTGTTTATTATATAAGTAAAGTGCGTACGTACAAAACTTTTATAAACTTGAATTAGATAAATTAAGATTTCTTTAAAATTTAATATAGACAATTTTAAAATACAAACCGCATCCACTTGTTTTTCGATTCTGTAAATTTCTTCTTGTAATAAATGAAGTGTTCCTATTTTTCCCCTATGCCTAGCAAACGCTGCACCACATGCAGAATGTATGCTGTTCACCCAATTTTCCAATTCTACTTGACAAGGCGCCTGAAAAATAATACACTTATTATTTTTATATTAACAAATTCATTTTTTCGTGATTTTTTATGTGAGCTGATTATTTTTGATTAATTTGTTTAAATTTGTTAAGATATACTATCTATATACTGTCATATTTTTAGTTGTGAATTTCAAAATTTGTGAAAATAATGATCTGTGTTCATATAATATAATATTAATATAAAATATTTGCCATTGTTATATTTTAAGTAACAAGCATTGTTAATGTGTGCTAATGGTGTAAAAGCCTATAATCTAGGTCAACCTCAATGATCAAATTCTAATCACATCTATATTTGGTCTTGTGCAAGTATGATTAAAAAAAAACTTTGTATCTAATTTAAAACAAACATAGAAGATCAGATTAACTAACCAACTGAGTTTCTAAACTTTTGATTACATCGAACAACTATTTTATACTTCCAGAAAATAAATACTTTTTCATCCTGCTAAAATATATATATCATAATATTTACCAATATAATATAATTTAACACAATTAAGTTTTTTTCTTTTTTAGTAATAATTTTAATAAATTAATTGTTGGTTTTAACATATACCTGAAATAAATAGGCGTCTCCAAAAGCTGTACTTAAACAGAAAATATAATCTCTCTTCGGGTGTTCTGGAATAGGTTGCATAATCGCTCCGTCCACGATTATAAGGTGTTTTGGTGCTGCCTCTACACTTCGGCCTTCTCTAGAATCGCATGGGTAAAAGAGTAATGTTGTGCCTTTAAGACACACCCAATATCCTTTCCAGCCTCTTTTTCTGGCAAGTTCAATTTGGTGCTTTTTCCGTAATAGCCATTTTTTTACGCTCAAAAACCTGAAATTAAAAATCAACGGATTCATTTATAGTTACCTAAGTCTTATGATGGTAATTTGAGTCATGATAAATTGTACAATTTAACTAAAATAATTTTACATCAAAATCCTTCAAGTATTATTTATCAAGTATTATGTAGTAAGTGTTCTTTTTATCTGTTTTTATTTTTTGATATTTCCTGTTAACATACAATAGGCTTTTTTTTATATAAAAGACTATGACTTTATTATGTTTTAGTTCTTTATAATATATATCTACAAAATATAGTAGTCGCTCTAAATGGAACAAAGGCAGTAGAAAGGTAAACGAGTGGCTCTCATTGAGTGAAGGCTACTTAAATCTAAACTGATTTTACCATAGCGTGTCAAGATATTCACCATTAAAATGTTACAAAACAATTTTAGAAGTGGTGTTGTATAATATTCAAGAGGATATACTAGGGTGACCATATTTATATAAAAAAGGGAAAAACTTATAAAAAAAATACCTACATTAAAAAGTTGTTTAATAATTTTTATATTTTAAAGATATTTTGGAAATAACAGTAGGAAATATATTGCTGAAAAAGGTGATAATTTTTTTTTTTTGGGGGTTGGGGGCTTCAATATATTAATTATATACTGTACAACACGACAACCTGTATGATTCATGCTGATCGGTGATCGGTGACAATAGTTCGTTGGCACTGCACACTCGTTTCACGAAAATTATTATTTATAACTTAGGTTTTGATGAAAAACTGTAAAAATATAGACGGTACCATATTTTAAAAACGGGACAAACATTGTCCCGTTCAAAATTTCTTTAGAGAATGGGACATGATGCTCAAAAATATAGCAACAAACCAGTTTTAAACGAAATGCACGGTCACAATCTTATATAATAAAACGCTAATAACGCGTATAAGATCCGCGGGGAGCGCTCACGGCACTCCGCGTTTCTTCCATGACGACCAATCACAATACTTCCCGCGCGTTCGCTATAAATTCCGCTCGCTTATCTCCCATTTCCTTATCGACGAATATTTTCGAACATTATTATTATTATTAAAAAAAAACCCGTGTTTTTCAATTTTTTGACGTGATAATAACGTCTTATAAACCGATTACCCCGCGATCGTCGGGCGGAGTGGGGGGACCCATTAAACGAGTAATTATTTTTGACCAAGTATAACTTAGCCGGTATTCGACTTAGAGACCCCGTACCAATGGGCATCTCAATTTTTTAGGCCCCAGATGAATTTTCAACATTAGGGAACCAAAGCCCCCACCCCCCCCACATTTTGAGTTGAGTATAACTCGGCCGGAATTCAAGTTAAAGACCTCGGACCAAGGGGGAACCCATTCTTTTTATGAATACTACCGTTTTCCGCTTTAGGGAACGGGGGCACCTCCTCCCCCCCTTTTTGGATTTTGCTTTTTTGATGGATTTTGGTCCGGGAGAGTACTAACACCCACCTCGCCAAGGGGAAACTCGGGGTTTTGAGTTTTTGATAGGATTTATTGGGATTTTCTTAAATATTGTTTTTATTGATAAGGAAAGTGATAAGAATTTTATTTTATCGCCGCGAGCACGACGACGCGGCTTAAGAGTCATACATTTGCCTCGGAATTTCATCTGAGTAGGTGGCTAGGTTGGTTAGGCGTTAGGATAGGTGACTCGAGTGTCGTGGGTTCGAAACCGCCGTCCGGGATTTTCGGGTATTTGCGGCGGCTGTACTAAATCGAATTTCTTATTTTTGCGTTTTTTTTTTTCGTCACATTTATCATTTTTAACGAAAGTGTTAATTTTTTTTTTAAATTTGCATTATATTATTATATATATTATTATTATTCGTTTGACGATATTTATTGGGCAAAAAAATTATTATAATTAACATTTACCGACGCACCTACATGTTTTTTTTAAATTTGCATTATTATATTATATATATTATTATTATTCGTTTGACGATATTTATTGGGCAAAAAAATAATTAAAATTAACATTTAATTAATACTTGATTTTACCGACGCACCTACATGTTTCTTTTATTAACACATTATAATAACGTATAACTAACCTACGTGTAGTACCTACTTGATATATTACAGTTTTTACGTGATTCCGATTTGGTTAAATACTGCTACAGATTATAAATACTATATTAAAAAATAGTACGACTATATTTGCCGTTTTTTTCGAAAATTCGAGTCCCGGGGTGGGGTAGTGTGTCAGAAACGAGAGTAGGTACCGTGTAGGTATCGCTATATACAGGCATATATACATGCGCCTCGATGTTCGATTTTTTTCGCAAATCTCGCGTCTTGAACGTCCGAAGGTGGCGGACATGGTGGTCCGCTCAAACGCCCTTAAGAGTCATAGATTTGGCTCCTAATTTCATCTCGGTAGGTGGCTAGGTAGGTTAGGCGTTAAAACGGGTGATTCGACGGTCGTGGTTTCGAACGCCGGCGGGGCCGTGTTAAATCGAATTTCTTTTTTTTGCGTTTTTTTTTTCGTCACATTTATCATTTTTAACGAAAGTGTTAATTTTTTTTTTTAATTTGCATTATTATATTATATATATTATTATTATTCGTTTGACGATATTTATTGGGCAAAAAAATTATTATAATTAACATTTACCGACGCACCTACATGTTTCTTTTAATAATACATTATAATATAACTAACCTACGTGTAGTACCTACTTGATATATTACAGTTTTTACGTGATTCCGATTTGGTTAAATACTGCTACAGATTATAAATACCATATTAAAAAATAGTACGACTGTAATATGACTGCTTCATTTGCCGTTTTTTTCGAAAATTCGAGTCCCGGGGTGGAGTAGTGTGTCGGAAACGAGAGTATGTGTAGTGTATTCATTTATAGATACCTACGTTTAATAGGATAGTAGTACATTTCAATAAAATTTGTTATTCACCAATATAATTATCTATTTGTTAATTTGACTTAATTCTCATAATTAAATAAATATACATGCAAGGTATATTTTAGAAAATATCCAATCAGAAAATTAGATTTTGTCGACTTATTTGTTATAACCGCGAAAACATAACAATGATTACATTGATTACAGTGAAGCCTAACATAAAACACCTGATAACTGTTCTCTATAATTATCAACAAATACAATTTTATTACCTCCTGTATACTTTTTCATATTTGAACGGCCGTTTCGAGCACTTTTCGCTGTAGGCGGATTGTCCGTTCGGGAATCGGATTTCACCCGAGATGACTGATAGCTAGACACTCAAACTCAGAATCCGAATTTCCGATTTCAACACACATACGAGAACCGGACACACACGCCCGGTGCATGGTCTGCGATCCGACGTAGTCGGATTGCCTACCTGACTAGCTACTTGCATACGATCGACTTACACCCCCACTGCATCTGACACTCGGGAATCGACTTTCACCCGAGATGACTGATAGCTAGATACTCAAACTCAGAATCCGAATTTCCGATTTCAACACACATACGAGAACCGGACATACACGCCAGGTGCATGGTCTTGCCTACCTGGCTGGCTGTGTCTTACGATCGACTTGAATCGCGTGACTTACGACTAGACACTCTTCCGAGTTCAAAAATTACCGCTTAAAAAGTGCTGCCAACACGACAAAACATAATACCCGACGACCCCCCTTCCCCCCGCAGGCTGGATCAAAAAACCCAGCATAGCCGACAAAGATGCACCACCGCCCACACAGTCTTTCCGCCGTAGGCGGGATGACAAACACCGGAATCTAGTCTTATATAATAAAACGCTAATAACGCGTATAAGATCCGCGGGGAGCGCTCACGGCACTCCGCGTTTCTTCCATGACGACCAATCACAATACTTCCCGCGCGTTCGCTATAAATTCCGCTCGCTTATCTCCCATTTCCTTATCGACGAATATTTTCGAACATTATTATTATTATTAAAAAAAAACCCGTGTTTTTCAATTTTTTGACGTGATAATAACGTCTTATAAACCGATTACCCCGCGATCGTCGGGCGGAGTGGGGGGACCCATTAAACGAGTAATTATTTTTGACCAAGTATAACTTAGCCGGTATTCGACTTAGAGACCCCGTACCAATGGGCATCTCAATTTTTTAGGCCCCAGATGAATTTTCAACATTAGGGAACCAAAGCCCCCACCCCCCCCACATTTTGAGTTGAGTATAACTCGGCCGGAATTCAAGTTAAAGACCTCGGACCAAGGGGGAACCCATTCTTTTTATGAATACTACCGTTTTCCGCTTTAGGGAACGGGGGCACCTCCTCCCCCCCTTTTTGGATTTTGCTTTTTTGATGGATTTTGGTCCGGGAGAGTACTAACACCCACCTCGCCAAGGGGAAACTCGGGGTTTTGAGTTTTTGATAGGATTTATTGGGATTTTCTTAAATATTGTTTTTATTGATAAGGAAAGTGATAAGAATTTTATTTTATCGCCGCGAGCACGACGACGCGGCTTAAGAGTCATACATTTGCCTCGGAATTTCATCTGAGTAGGTGGCTAGGTTGGTTAGGCGTTAGGATAGGTGACTCGAGTGTCGTGGGTTCGAAACCGCCGTCCGGGATTTTCGGGTATTTGCGGCGGCTGTACTAAATCGAATTTCTTATTTTTGCGTTTTTTTTTTTCGTCACATTTATCATTTTTAACGAAAGTGTTAATTTTTTTTTTAAATTTGCATTATATTATTATATATATTATTATTATTCGTTTGACGATATTTATTGGGCAAAAAAATTATTATAATTAACATTTACCGACGCACCTACATGTTTTTTTTAAATTTGCATTATTATATTATATATATTATTATTATTCGTTTGACGATATTTATTGGGCAAAAAAATAATTAAAATTAACATTTAATTAATACTTGATTTTACCGACGCACCTACATGTTTCTTTTATTAACACATTATAATAACGTATAACTAACCTACGTGTAGTACCTACTTGATATATTACAGTTTTTACGTGATTCCGATT